ATTAGCCGCGCGGAAACCGCGCTTACCGCCGACCGACCGATGACGATTTCATATTGAAGCGAGCTAGGCTGGTCAAATCGATTGAATCGTCTGGCTTTCGCCAGAGATTATAAAAAATTATTTTTCCAATTTTTTTGAAATTTAATTGTCAGCCATGTATATCGATGTTACGCTATTATATCAATATACCGTTGCGTTGCTCAATGCCTCATATCTTCGTTTACTCGGACGTATCTCGCGCGGATAATGGCTAGCAGGTGCACCATTATCTGCCTGCGCGGATAATGGACATCTCATTGTGCCTCGAATAATCGGAAGCTACGGTATCTCATCTCTCTGGCACTATGCTCCTTTCATAGGTATATAAGATCTAGACAGGCAGGTATCGTTAACGCAGAACCGGAATACTGCCATGTACGATGACGCGGCGCGGCGCGGCGCAACGCGCAACGGCGCGGCGTCCCGGCGCAATGACGTAACGACGCGGCTGACGTTTCGATCCGTCCAGGGCAGAGACGTCGTCGTCACCGCAACAAGTTGCTCGACAAACTCGGTCTCCCGAGAGGCTCCTCGAAAGGGCCCCTTTCCCGCGTCTCCGCTTAGGAGTGCCGTGCACGTGTATCGAATGCGAACGTATCTCTACACGGTGCGGGGCGCCGTACCGTGTCGCTCGGGTTCACGCGGAGGCGACGGTGGTGGTGCGCAACGTCGGCGGCGACCCGACGATCGGTCTTGATTTATGGGGCGGGTAGCGGCGTGTTCAAACGTCGGAAACAAGGACTGTGGATTTTCGCGTATATGTACGCGTTAACGATCCGAAATAGCCGGCTACCGTATCCAACGAGATCGCCTATTTCACCTCGTCTCGCTATCGGGTGATCTCCCAGTATATCACCCCGGAACGATCGCAACGATTATTCCAACGACGTAGGAAACGCTCCCAGCACTAGTCGCTATCAAACGTTCAAGTAAGATTGATCGAGCTAATTATGGGATATGAACGCGAATCTCTCTTGCGATGATGAACTTAACGGATGTTGCAGATAAGCGCCGAGGACACGATTGAACGCGCGCTGAATGTACCGTGTTTTTCAAGATGTAAGATAAACGAAATTTTCCTTCATATTTCTGTAGCAATATAAGTATTACAGCAAATTGCTCTCTAGTGGTAGTGTAACATGTATACCTATTGCGCCCGTCACACTCCAATTTTCAGAAAACAAATTATTCAAGCACCGGAGCGAGAGCAAATTACTACGAGACACGGATAGGTTTCGTTTTAACGTTTCGTTTTACACATTGTTCGCGCGATTAAATGGGTCAATTAGTTACGTATGCTTGCAGGTTTCGCGTATCCACCCCGGACACATACGCATTATTATCGTTGTGCTCGTAATAACATTTCGGTGTTATTGACCTACCAATTATATCAATTTCATTTCACGATGGATATTATCGCGTTACGTATATACGACACTGAAACATGTACCGTCGTTAATTTTATCAGGTAACGAGATTTTTCAAACAATATGTTTATAAGCGTGTACATAGTACATAACAATAAAAATAGTAATATAATTTATTTGCGGCTTGTATAAAACCGCAGTGAAGTAAAACGCTGCTGTCTCGGCTAATAAAAAAATTATAATAATACTAATAATTCTCAGGCCACCGTGATAAGCTTTTCACAATCCTTACGAGTGTAGTTAATTATTCTTATCGTGGAGTGGAAAAAAGCGTGGAAATGTAACAATAATCTTTATGAATTGGATGCTTTATAAACGATATTAAGGACGCACACAAATAATTTTTCATCCTGTAAGAAATGTGAGAAGCGTTACTAAATTTCTTCGTCAATTATACGCATTTTCCTGAAAGTGAAAATCGTTAATAGAAAACCAACATTTCGTATGCGGCTCGATACGACTGAAATCGGAACGAAACCGGCAAATCGTGCGACGAAAAGATAATGAAAAAAAAAACACTGCAGCTCGTTTCGCAAGATATACTCCGATAAAGAGCGGTAAACGCGATTACAGGTTGTCCGTAATCATGTGGAATACGCTTCTCGTAATTGCACTTCCTTTGCGGAATAATCATACGATGAAGATACAAATGTAGATACATTTCCCGATAAGCCTGCAGAAAAACGACTCGGCGGTTTTCCGTCTGGATTATTTCACTCTTCTTCTCAGACTGACCCGCTATTGTTTTCGCTCGCCAGCCTGTATTACGCTTATGATATTGACTTACTGTACTGCAGTGCCGTTAGCAATGTATGTTACTCAATGTGTGTGTACTCTGTGTGTGTGTGTGTGTGTGTGTGTGTGTGTGTGTGTGTGTGTGTGTGTGTATACGCGCACACCAAATATATATTTTGCGTACTGTCCAAGTTTCATCGCGCCTTTCGTATACAGCGTACAATATTGTAACAGCAAAAGAGACTCAACTTTACGGCACTGAGAATAATTTACGATACTCTTTCGGTAGCACAGAAGATGTGCCAACAAGCTTTTGTTTCGTAAGATAAAAGTACACGTATTTTCAATTAAATCCTCGATCTCCCGGCTTATAGATTACTATCCTTTTATTTCACAGCAACGTCCATCGAGATAAATTAGTAAGATAAATTAATGTATAGCCGACAAGTTCATAGTTCCACGACAGCGCACATTTAATTTTCTGCGATCCAATCCGTTTAACTTTTAACTTGTATTTTTCTAACAACGATCTGTGAAATTAAAATTTTATAGACTTCTTTCTGAAAAATCTTGAAATTTACACATTTCTAATAAATACAAAGTAACGATGAAGTAATACGTTTGCAAATTGTATCGGCGACCTATTGATCTCGTTGAAACTAAACTCGTCACTTCTAAAATTAATTAATTATTAATTCGACTAATTACAGCAGGAATTAACGGATAACATGTATGTAAACATTCTGCCCGTAGTACAATCGATTAGCATCGGAACTGCACAATGGTGTACTGGAATACGCTCAACAAATGTTTGTACAAACGTCTAAAATGCCTAAAATATTTCTGCATGAAATTACTTACGAAATGCTAATGTAATATTTTGAAATAGCTTTACTCAAAATTCCGGGAATTTACAGCATTACAGAATTATCTATAGAGTTTCTCTTATAATTATTATAATCTTGTTCACACAGGATATTTCAGAATCCCGTCTCATAAATTTTTAATTTTAACTTATAGATTTTTCGAGAAATTTGCATTTTTACCTATCCATTCTTCCTATCCATTTTTCCCTCCGAAGAATTCCCGAGAAAACTATCATCTTTTGCCGCAGCTGCATATTCAACATTAACTATTCTCATAATTAAACGTTGAATTCAAACTTCGGGAAAGTAAAGTCAATTTAGATGAATAATGAAGTTTCGTTATATTTAATTTAACGCCCTCAGAAGTTTCATTCGCATCTTCATTTACAATCGTTTATATTTTAGAAACTATCACAGGTTGTTCCAACGTTTTAATTAAGGCACAATCAATTTTGATTAACAAAGAAATAAAACTATTAAAATCCAGATATAATTTTAACGTATTAAAGATTCTTTTCGTTTGTAGCTGCAATTTACCCGGGACTTACGGTTCTCACATAAAAATTGATAAAAACAATTCGAAAATATCGCTATCGAAAACAAAGTCTCGGAATTCTGGTCGTAAATGAACATGTATTGTTATTCCGTATAAAATTAAAAATTGATGGTTTATCAACTAAATAGTCTGCGAATTACTAATGAAAAAATATTTCAAAAAAATTAATAAGAGAAGATTAATGTTTTATCACTTTATTTTAATATTATATTTTGATAGTATTTTTTACGACCATTGTGTAAAAATGCTCATTTTCATGTTGCGTTAAAACCTCTTCTCCCGAGGCCGCACGATTAAATAACTGATAAGTACTCGGCGTGTTTTCCTGTGTTACGCATGTAGAATTAGAATTTAAAATTCTACGATAAAATTTAAAATCTCGAGATACGAACATTAGAATTTAAAATCGCAATGTCGACGACTTCGTACTTCAGTTTTGCGACGTTCTAGGATACATAAAAATATAGAAGTAAAAAAAAATATCAAATTTAAACTGCATATCAAACATATAAAATTTATAACGAAATGTACGAACAACAGAAGCAGCAATTTGAAATGTTTATCTACGAATGCAGCATTAAGCGTGCAAATGTATGCATATACAGAAATACATCTTTGAAATTGCTGATTGTCATTCGCGTTTTTGGGCGACGACGCCGTAGTCTAGGAAGTCGCGACTCGCCGCGCGAGCAGTCCTTCCCGGAAGGACGCGACGCCATCTGACGCTTTCTCCGGTTCGCGCGTCTTCCCTCTGCGCAAAGAAAAATGCATGTTTACATAACGCATATGATCGTCCCGTCGCGAGGCGCCGGAACGCGGCGGCATTTTGTCATCGAACAAAAATAAACGGCGCGCAATCTTCTCGCATATTATGTCCCGCGAGACGCGCGTACGTCGCCATTCACGGTGGACGGGATTCCATATTTTCACGCATGGCACGGTCATCGACGCATCAGGTGTCAGTCACCCCGGAGTCGCGAGTCGCGAGAACGCGAAAGTCTCGTATGCGCGCGGCTAGTTTGACGCATGCACGTAGGCACGCACGCACGCACGCACGCACGTACGCATGCAGGCATGCACCGTCGTTTCTGTGAAGATGTTACGAAAATTGCGACGTGACACAACTCCGATCTCGCCACGGACTCGCGAGCGGAGCGTCGTGCGATCGTACATACCATTTAGTGAGCGTCATATAAGTATAAATAGGATGATTCTTCATGAACGACACAAGAAAACTTACTGGGGAAAGTTGACGTCAAAAACTTTTACGTAGCGGCGAGAATCTCTCGAGTCTGGCCGAATCGCGCCGCCAGATGAAGGTCGGCGGCGAGACGCGATCGCGAGCGAGAGGAGGATGAAACGAAGATCGCTACTCACCCGGCGTTCCGTTGACCGTGGCAATTCCACCCGTGACCCGTCGTGACCGTCGTCAGCGTCGTCGTAGTCGTGGTCGTCGTCGTCGTCTCCGTCCCGCGTGTCGTGCGCCTTTCACTAGTTTCGCAATCGACGTAGAAGATGCGGCGTCCTCGCGGATTCCTTCGTTCGCTGCGGCGCCGGCTTTACTTTTTCAGATCACACGCGACCAACGTGAGGCGATCGACGAATCGCCGAGAAACGCACGAGCTTACGCGGACACGCACGAACGCGAGGGACTGCGAGTCCGAGTACGGAAGGAACTACTCCGAACGCTCCCATCGGTCAGCTGCTACTGGCCGCCCCCGTCCCGACAGTCGTCAGCGCGGCGCGCGGCGGGAAAAGGGTGGACGGCCGTGAGTGACGCCGCCCCACGGTACCACGCGAAAGCTCCAGCACGCTCGCACGGTCATGCACCGACCGATGACACGATGATATTGCGTTCCACGCTCGTACTTATCTTCAGTGCAGACTGCAGCGTTTGCGCGCGTCGTTTCGCGACTGCGATTCTATTTTATGAATAAAATGAACTCTACATTAATTTAATTCCTTTCTCTTTTTTTCTCTCTTCCTATATCTCTGAAAATAGATGTGACAATGTAGTACCCATTTCGAAAATGGATCTATTGGCACTAGTGTATAGGAGTTCAGCCCAGATCAGCCGGTCGGTATGGCCGCTCTCATGCTTCTCTCTGGTGTATGTATATACATACGTGAGTAGTGAGTACATACAATTACACTTTTCGTGATGTGGAAGCTCATAACAATATGGTCGCTCGCTAAGTACGGCTGGAAACGGGTGTCCTGACGTACGGACAATTTTCCCGACGTGGAACATTGTGGGACATTTGGACCCTTTTTTTCCCTTCGAAAAAGGATTGTTGTTCCCCACATATACGTGACGTGAGATAGGACGGAAAAATGTTGACGGCAGCTGCGAGTATGTCCAACAATGGTGGCTCCTACAGTGTCGAGAGGCCACCCACTCCAGACGTGGATCTCTTTGACACGATGGAAATCCCGTCCTTCATGAGTGGATTATTTCACCCGGAATACAAGAAGTGAGTAGCCTAGATGTGATCCTCGCCTAGCCTCGTTCGGATGAGAAATCATTTCTTTAATCGCGGAGCGATTGAAAGCTAACTTTAGACATGCGAATACCTGTCGTATTGCATTACTGTCATCCTTATCTTGTTACTGTCTCTATCGCATTGTTATTTGAACGAATGTAGTAGAAACGCATATGCGTTGAACACGACATTGCATACATTTACAGACGGACATTTTTCATAAAAGCATATCCATTTCAGACATGACGATCTTAAAGAGATGTTGGACAGTAACAAGGATGGACTCAAATTGGAAGCCATGAAACGTATAATTGGGGTAAGTATATAGTTTATGTTTAATTTGTGATTTATTGATCGATAATAACTTGATTTTTTCCTCAGATGGTGGCCAAGGGGAAAGATGCTTCGGATATGTTTCCAGCTGTTGTAAAAAATGTAGTATCTAAAAATATCGAGGTGAAGAAGTTGGTATATGTTTATCTAGTTCGTTATGCGGAGGATCAACAGGATCTGGCACTTCTGTCCATATCGACATTTCAAAGGGCTTTGAAGGATCCCAATCAGCTGATAAGAGCAAGCGCTCTGAGGGTGTTATCCAGTATACGGGTTTCGATGATAGTGCCCATCGTGATGCTGGCCATCAAAGACTCGGCTAGCGATATGTCGCCGTACGTGCGGAAAACTGCTGCTCACGCTATCCCTAAATTATACTCGTTGGACCACGAACAGAAGGAAGAATTGATAGGCGTGTTAGAGAAACTGTTGTCCGACAAAACCACCCTTGTGGTGGGCTCGGCAGTAATGGCTTTCGAAGAAGTGTGCCCAGAGAGGATAGATCTTATCCATAAGAATTATAGAAAATTGTGCAATTTGTTAGTGGACGTTGACGAATGGGGTCAAGTGGTTATTGTTAATATGCTCACTAGATACGCTAGAGCACAATTTGTTAATCCAAATACCGATGTAAGTATATGTATATCGTCGAGAAACGCTGACAGGAAAAGATAAATGATAACTAATTTAAAATAATAATTTTAAAAATATTCGCAGAGTTTAGAAGAAGACGAAAATCGGCCATTTTACGACTCCGATTCCGATTCTTCCAGTACGAAGAAACCAAAGTTCATGTTGGATCCCGATCATCGTTTGCTGTTAAGGAACACGAAACCACTGTTACAAAGTCGAAACGCATCGGTGGTAATGGCGGTTGCTCAATTATATCACCATGCAGCGCCCAGAAGCGAAGTTATGACCGCCGCAAAGGCACTAATAAGATTACTGAGAGGCCATAGAGAAGTGCAAAGTATTGTGCTTCATTGTATCGCCAGTATATCAATTACGAGAAAGGTAAGCGCATCGAAACGTGATACAAATTGATCTGCGGTAATTTAATTTGCATTGTATGTATTATATAACCGACACATTCATGCTGTTCTGCGTTCCACAGGGTATGTTTGAGCCTTTCTTGAAATCATTCTTTGTGCGGACTTCCGATCCTACTCACATAAAACTTCTGAAACTCGACATATTGACGAATTTGGTGACGGAGACCAGCATCAGTGTGATACTGAGAGAGTTTCAGACATACATCTCCAGCAGTGACAAGGAATTTGTCGGTGCCAGCATTCAGGCAATCGGCAGATGTGCAAGTAACATCAAGGAAGTGACCGACATGTGTCTCAATGGACTGGTTTCGTTGTTGAGCAATAGAGATGGTAAGTTTCTTATCAAGTTTATAGCGTATGCTATATTACATTGTGTACCATATCTTATGCCCTATTAAACATTACGTTATTTTATTTTTTCCACAGAGGCCATTGTGGCAGAAAGTGTTGTGGTAATAAAAAAGCTCCTGCAAACGCAGCCGAATGAACACAAGGACATCATCGCTCACATGGCTAAATTAATGGATTTCATCACAGTGCCACAAGCCAGAGCGTCTATCCTGTGGCTCCTAGGCGAGTACTCGGACAGAGTGCCTAAGATAGCGCCGGACGTGCTCCGAAAAATGGCGAAAAGTTTCGTGAACGAGCAGGACATAGTGAAGCTGCAGACCTTGAATTTGGCCGTGAAATTGTGCTTGAACAATCCCTCGCAAACGAAGCCGTTTTGTCAGTACGTCTTCCAACTTGCCAAATACGATCAGAATTACGATATCAGAGACCGCGCGCGTTTTCTACGGCATTTCATCTTCGACGAGGAAGGTGACGCGAAGAAACTTCCACAGTTCGCGAAGAGAGTGTTCCTCGCACCGAAACCGGCACCAACTTTAACATCCAGGTTCAAGGACTCGGAGTATCAATTGGGCACTCTGTCCCACTACCTGGACATGCCGTGCGTAGGATACCGGCCTTTACCGCCTTTCCCTGAAGTTACGCAAGATCCATCTGTGCGAGACGTCGCGCCGCCCACTGCGCAGGAGCTTAAGGAAGAGCGCCATAGTAGGAAAGAAAAGGAGAAGAAAAAGAGCAAGGGAAAGGAAAAATCATTCTACAGTGACGAGGAAAGCACTCCTGCTGAAGGTACCGTCCGATAATTAACATTTGCGCATGTATCATATGTTTGAATTTTCCATCTCTAATTTCAGAATCGGACAATCAGTCATCCGATTCTTCGTCCAGCGAATCTTCAGATGAAGACAGCGATTCCTCAGACTATACAAGTGAATCAGATAAATCCGAAACGGGCAGTGGAAAGAAAAACGAATCCAAATCTGACGATTCTGAAAGTGAGTCGTCGAGTGGAGAAGAGTCAGATTCTGAAGACGAAGACGAAGACGAAGAGGAGAGTGAGACTCAAGAGAACGAAGAAGAGAAACCGAAAGTTGTTAAGCAAGAAGTGAAAGAGAAGCCAAAAAGCAACTTTGATCTGCTATTGGATCTGGATGATGGTTAGTTTGATTCAAGAAATAAATTAGAAAAAATTAGTATCAATGTATTCATTATATCTTTTTGTTACACAGTTGTTCCAATGACTCCTGTGATGACGCCTAGTTTGGGTGGTTTTCTTACCCCAATTAATTCAACAACAATCACAGATAACGTTCGCGAAGTATCAACGTCGTTTGTCCCGTTAAAAAAGACTACTTTGTTAAATAGTATCATAGGGCATGGCTTAAAAATTGAATATAGATTTACAAGATCGCAGCATTTAGTTAGCTCGAGTTTGATTAGTATCGAATTGACGTTTTCGAACGAGAGCAACGATGCCATTAAGGAGATTCAAATAGGAAACAAAGTGAGCAATGTTCGAAGTATTGTATATCATACGACTGTTTATATTATCGTGAAATAATATATTTCATACGTAACTTTCTTTTCAGAATTTACAAAAGGGTATGCTTATTCATGATTTTACGCAAATAACATCACTCGATGCAAACGCTACGCTATCGTCGACGTTAGGCGTTAATTTTAATGATTCCACTCAACCGGCCAATTTCAACATCGACTTTACGATCAACGACGAGAAATATTCGTGTCCGGTCAGTATCAAACCACCGATCGGGGAGATAATAAGATCTGTGACCTTGCCCGAAAGCATGTTCAATGCGGAGAAGGCCAAATTGAAAGGTATGAACGAGCACATAGCGAAAATACCATATTCTGGGAACAAAAACGCTCTTCTTCAAAAAGTGTTCGAGACTGCAAATGTCGCAAGAGTATTTAACGAGGATGAAGTTATTCGGTAAGAACACGCGTTTGTTTCACAAGCACGTATATCCTCTCTTCAATATATATATATATATATATATATATTTATTTATAATTATATTTCGAAAACTAACCATCGCAAATGCTTACAGGTTTGCCGCTCACACTTTAGCATCTAAATCATTGGTATTAGTGACAATAAAATTCATTGACGCCGAGCAATTGGAAGTTTGTGTGAATTGTGAAAAAATGGTTATAGGATCAATTTTGTTGAATGAAATTAAGAGTAATTTAAAATAAAACAGATACATATGCTATTTATACGGAATTAAATAATACAGATATGTTTCATACATTCATGAGGCAATTTGAGTACTTCTTTCTTCGTTAAGTGAAGGTAAATTTTTTTAAATAATATATTCCATTTTAATTTCTACGTATACATTCATATACGCATGTATGTACGTACATACATATGTGTGCATTTCTCTAGATATACGTATATGTAAATATGCATATACGAGTAAATATATGATGTATAATTACAAATATATATATAAATATTCTGTTACGCCATTGCGATGGCTTTTATAATAAATTCTAACTGCTTTTTGTCATAAGGCTGATCTTTTCAAACTACACCATATCAATTGCTGTGACCCGCTGATATCACAGTCCGCGATCTCCCAGAAACGCAGTCGGTACTCCTTGCGACTTGTCAGGAACGTTTTCAGTACTATGTAAATGAGAGTTCATGTTATATAAATACATGAAAAAGTGCTGCGAAGCTGGATACTCACGTCTTAGCATTCCGCTGGAGATCGGTTTCGAGAAGCCGATGTCTTCGCTCGGGAAGCGCGCGACCACGTCCGACAGGATTTCCATACCGAAACCACGGTTCCTATATTGCGAACGAATGTACGCTGAATCTACCACAGGCATCATGTATCTCTCTTTCGTCGAGAATACTTCCGTGCCTGGGCGAATAATTAAGAATGTCATATATTCTCTTCCTGAATTTTTCTAACGTCACACTAATTACCTGTAGGTTTAACGGTGTAAAACCCGATCGCTTTGCCTTCCTGCCACCTTAATAAAACGACGTCGAGTTCGTCCACCAGACCGTACAACGACTCAAGCTTTTCCGATCGTGGCGTATCGAAGTATGGATAAACGATCTGGCTCAGCGTGTAAAAGAGCACCTTATCACGATCCGTTTGGACCTCCCGCCATTCATCGTCGAGTCGATCGCAATAAGCGGCGTCAACGTCGATTATCTCGTTGTTTAACGTTACAGATACGAAGTGATCGCCGTCGACACAGTCTATGCGACGGACGTCGCCCTGAATGTTCAAGCTCCATAGATCGAGTCGAGTCGTTTTAATTCGTACGCATTTTCCGCATCTGCGAATCGATTAAGTGTGGATAAAAAAAAACATTTTCCGTGAGAATGCGAGTAACAATTGCGCTAACAGTATATCTTTTACAGACGAAAATTGAGGGACAGCTTGAAAATATCATTACGTAATAGATTAGTTTTAACACATTGACAACGTTACGTGGCAGGCTAATCGGAAAATGAAATCAGAAACGAGTGACGCAAATTCGTGGAACAGCAGTTGATTCATCACCTCGAGCACATCATCTTGAGCAGGCGGATCGAAGACGCCGATAACGTCGCGATAAGAGAGAAATATTCAACCAGATTGCCTTGCGAAAAAGTGAACCTTTAAACTGATAAGGATAATAATTCAGTTGACGCTCTTGGACTGCCTTATCGGTGAAGTACGCGCACGTGACAAGTGCGGAATGTACGCAACTATAATGTACGCCACGCGGGAAGTAATTTTCGAATTTGGAAACTTAAGGCCTAAAACAATGAAAAAGGAATAGGGAACAGGCATCAGAGGATAAGATTTCAACCTGTCAGGAACCGTATACTATGGAATACACGGTTTCTGATGGGTTGAAATTTCTTCTGGGTTTCTTATTCTCTGTTGCCTGTCGCCTATTTCTTTTTATTGTGTTTAAGGCTTTACACGGAGGAACTTTATTTTAAAATTTACCCTGAAAAACACGTTAATCGTAGAACAGCATAGTATTTCGAGAAATTTTATGTGATTTTCCCTATTTGTTTTTAATATGTACTACAACAAATTTATTGTAGTGCACAGTAAAAAGACAGAGAAAATTACATAAAATTTGCCAAAATACTATGCTGTCAACATGATTTTCAGAGTAAATTTTAATAGGAAATTCTCTCCGTGTACGCACGTGATTTCGCGAATATAGGCAGTGCTCCAAAATTTACTGTCAGTGCTGAAAACAGTGCACGTAACGTACTATAGATTTTCAGTGCTGGCAGTAAATTTTGGAACACTGTCATAGTTGTATTAATTTGATTCCTTAGCGCAAGAAGTAAGAATTGATACGTGTTTTCTGTGTTCTCAATACGTATCTAATAAGCTAAAATCGCGGGACTTAGAGTATTTAAGAAAACATTCGAAATTTAAAGCTAGCTGAATTATACCAGCTGAGACTCAATTAAGGGAGGCAAATAGCATTTGAAATATCATTTATTCCCTTTAATAACGGTTATGTAATATGCATTATTTAAATTCTTGCAAAGTTAGTTAAAATTTCCCGTGACGCGTTAATTATGTAATATCTCCGTTCATAATTTTTACATAACATTGTAGATTATAGGAATGAATAATTAAAAAATTATTATTATTATTATTTTGTGATAAAGAATCATTCGCCTAATTACTTGGCACGCTTGCCGGTGCTGCTGATAAGAGCCAGCCGAGTGTACGATTGCACGAAACCGGTTGAGCGCACAGATCACACGTCTTTATGCGTAAGTGCACGAGGAATGCAGCGGCATTCATCTGTCGTTATCGAAAGACAAAGAATCATATTCTTGTGCTTCTCATTACATTGCCAGGGACAGTAAACTCTATTACTACTGTAGACTATATTAACTTCTGCGTAATTTTTCACGATTTTATACAATTGACGAATTTCTCGGTCTGACCATCTGTTTATTTGCGAATATCTCTGCGTGAACTTCGAAACCTTGCATTTTGCTTCAATAAGACGGCAAACATAAATTAATTTCTGTGCTCGCACAAATTGATTAAATCTTTACGCTTACATAACTCAACGTTTTTTAATTATGCCTGGCGGAGAATAAAACTCCAACAAAACGCAAGATTTCCGATTGGAAGTAAAAAAAAAACCTATACAGTCGAGTCAATTAAGAGAGCATAATAAGGTCGAAACAAGAATCCACCTTATGTAGTGTGAAGAATTCCCATCGCGTGATTATCATTCAGTGGAAAACAATTTATCTACATAAATGTCAGATTGGTAACGCAATGGTGTAACTAATCGCGGACTATGAGGGACACGGTGGAGGTCGACAGATTAATTGCTAACTTTTCCTCTCGCCCGTCCTCCCCGATCAGACGCGAGCGTGTACATACATAACATGTCCGTTTTGGTTCTATTGCAGATAAGAACGCGGACGCGTCTCTCATTGAGAGACGTGCTCTGATAGCGGCGATAGTATGCATAATATGGAGTGTATCGCGCGTCCGCCTATATACGCCCGCGCGTGCATCGCGTCGCGCAGTCGGAGTCGAACGTCGTCCTGGTGCGCACCAGCACGTTGAGAGGGGAGGGACGTCGATCTCAGGGCCCGTCAATCGTGACGCGCCGACGTTGAGAGAGAGAGAGCGCGCGCGATACAGCCGGTGCAGTCGCGCGTCAGCTGGGCGACGCCAGGCGACGCGGGTGAGACGCTGCACCGATGTCTTCGTCGCGGCTCGGCGAGCACGACGCCGATTACCAGCGATTCGACGACGAGACCGAGACAAATCAACCGCTCGACCAGGAGATCACCAATGGTTCGAGCCGACGTAAGTCCGCTTGCAGCATTCCCCAGTCTCCCAGCATTGTCCCAGATCCATCTAGATTTCCTGTCGATAATGCGCCTGCATTACGAAATGGCTGCAACGTTGCGTATCGCGTACAGTTGACAGGAAGGATATTTTCCTTTAAAGTCTTTGAACGACAGTCTCTCTCTTTTTCTCGGACGAGACAAGTCTCTCCCATTCTCTGTCTAAGAGGCTTCTTGACAACATGTATTAACGTAGAAACAGTTTCTCTTCGGCAAAAGAGCTAAATTAATGCTTTATTAATTTGTATTGGTGAAAGCATTTAATTGGAGTATATATTTGTCGAGAAACTTTTATATACATTTTTTTCAAAAGTATGTTATGATCATTGAGAGATAGGCTGCACAGTTAAATTCCACGCTTCTTGCAGAATATGGCTCCATACTGTCCTCGCCTTCGGAAAGTCACGTAAGGTCGTCATTTGGCAATGCTAATAACACTAATCAGCTGAATTACAAGTACGAAGCAGGTGAAACAGAGACTGGTGGAAGTATGACCGAGAACACAGTGTTCGCCGCGCGCGATGCGATTCTCGATGTGGATTTGCATTGGGAAATGAACTACCACGAAGCTGCAATATTTTTAGAGGTAACTATACATCGATCGATTATCAAAATTTATCTAAAATAACGATAGCTAATAGAAATGCAGAGATATGTGTACGCAAGCGGAAAATCAAGTGGCCAATTAGTTGTTTTCAAGGATATCTATTGTGCTGTGTAGTATATACATTCTGCAGCTACTATATGTAGTTATATAATTTTCAGAGGTGTATAGTCTGTTATTTCTCACGTTATAAGCTATACTTCAAACGATACTATATCAGTATGTGTATGTGAGAACTTAAGTTATACCAAATTATAGCTATAACGGATTAAAATATGATTTTTTAAATTCTTTGTCATTATCATCGAAACGATTTTATTTTTTCAGGAAGGTAGAAACAATGAGAAATTTGATTCTCATCCAAGGCACCCTGAAGATCTACCGGCGTATCTTTTAGTCCACAACAGTTGGTACAATGGGTTGGATTTACTGATCTCATTAATCCTACTGTCTCTGGCATTCGTAGAGGAGCCTGCCCTGCCACTATTTAAAGTACGTCATGCATAGATAAACGGCATACCATTTTCATTTACCGATTTACTTTCATGTGTATTGTATATGTTTTGCCCGTAGGTGCCAGTGTGGGTACACGGCTCGGTAGAATTACTTGCATTAATTACTATCGGTGTGCAGTTGGCTTTAAAGCTGAGATGGACTGGCTGGGCACCCATGTTAAGACACAAACGTACAATGTTAAAGGTAAGAGATACCTCTCGCTTGAAATATATAATCTACGCAAGCTATAAATATTTAAAAAAAACAATACTTTTTCGTATATTCGCATCGTAGCGTTCGACAAACGTTGTGTTTACGAAGACACGTGTTGATAGGAAAATAGATTTATCAGTAAAATCAGATTATCCGAATAGTTGTGCTCGTCCGTACACTTGTGACTAATAATTATTATGCAACGATATATAAGAGTATCAGACAGTAATCGTATATTTATTAACGATCAACGACCGCACTATCCGGATGAGTAATGAGTGCTGCAACGAATATGTAATGACTTATTAGCTTACTTACATAATGAGCCTTTGAATTAGTACAATGTCAGACGCATCGCAATATTCCTCATGAAATTCAAATGAACGGAGAATGACGTATGATTTGAAGCGAAAAACACGGCTGTAGATTACTGAACCGGGTCATTGACTCCCTTCGTGTCTCTCTTATCGCATTGATTTCTTTGTTTCAGTGCATCACATTAGCAATCATGTTTCTCGAAGCTATGACAATTCTGGTACGGCAGTCGTCGCATTTCCGCGTGACGCGCGCCCTAAGACCCATCTTTCTGATAGACACGAAATACTGCGGCGGCGTAAGGAGATTCGTAAGGCAGATACTTCTCACGCTACCACCTATCCTGGATATGCTGGGCCTGCTCTTTTTCCTGATTATTGTATATACTGTACTGGGCTATTACATGTTCAGCGAAATGAACAGAAATTTCTCCACGATGCAAGATAGCTTCGTCAGCCTGTTTGTTCTTCTTACCACCGCTAAGTGAGTAGATATAGTGTAGATACATTTTGACAATCTAAGTAATTTAACAGTTATAATTGATCGACAACGCAATTTGCAGCTTTCCCGATGTAATGATGCCATCGTATTCACAAAATAAGTGGTACGCGATATACTTCGTATCTTATTTGTGCACCATGCTGTACGTAATGATGAACTTAATGCTGGCGGTGGTAAACGAGACGTTCACGTCTCGCGAGCGTGATAAATTCAAGAAGCTGTTCCTGCACAAGAGGAAAGCGTGTCAGCACGCTTTCAAACTTTTGGTTTCCAAGCAAGACCCCGATAAGATGCGATTCCGCCAATTCGACGGTTTGATGCGCTATTATGCTCCGAATAAATGTACGTATATATGATTTTTTTTTATGTACTTTAGTTTCTTTTAGTGCTAACTTTTTATCAAACACGCATACTTGTATACATAAATTTCATGCCGTACAAGACTTAGAAAGTAAAAGAAATGATTTTTTTTTATATCTGCAATAATATGATATTATATGCTCTTTATAGCCACGCGTGACATTGTTTTAATGTTTTGTCATATGAATGCATCGGGAAGTGGCGCTTTAAATTGCGAGGAATTCTTGTCGATTTACGACACCGATACGCTTCAGTGGGACTTGCAATACTCTAACATACCATGGTACCGCACCGCGTGGTGGCCCCTGCAAACATTGTGCACAGGCGCCCATACAGTTATCAAGTGGTCGTATTTCGAAACCTTGGTGTGTAAGTAAATACATATGAGTGTAAACAACACGTGTAATATAAAACGTGCAATTGTAGACACGTGTAAATATAATTTTACATAAAATGTCAGCCTTGTATTTCAGTATTTGTAATTTCATAGGTATGATTATTATCGGTAATTGTATCGCCATGGTAGTAAGAATTTTTGAACCGAATAACAGCCTTGAGGAATCGGCGCACAGATTCGCGGCGTGTTGGGATACTCTGCTGTTCGGGGGACGTGAGTGAAAAATCTCTCAACATTAAAACAAATGTCTTAAAGTAGAAAAAAAAAATCCACGAAATACCGCGAATAAATTTACAGTTTTCATGGCCGAGGCAGTGTCAAAAATATTAGCTCTTGGTACTCGACGTTATCTGAGCTCTGGATGGAATCTCTTTGATTGGGGAACATCAGTAATGACTCTCGTCGCTGCGGGCGCTCTCACTTTATTCCCATCGGCTACATTCCTAGTTCTGTTCCGGCCTCTCAGAACGTTGAGATTGTTTAAGATCAAGAAACGCTATCGAGATGTTTTCGGCACCCTCGTAATTCTGTCTCCCCAAATGTGCCAGACGGCGATCGTCATGCTGGTCTTGTATTACTTCTTCGCGATCATCGGAATGGAAATGTTTGCCGGATACGATATGCGCAATTGCTGCAAGTTAGTACCGAATCGATTACGAGAATAATATATTTTTTTCTCTCAACTTTTTTGACGTAATATATACCTTTCGATTTTTCTTAATATTCTCAATAGGAATACCACCGTTGAAGATTTCTACGAGTATTCCGTCAATGGTAGCACAGCATTGGGATATTACTATCTTAACACTTTCGATAATCTCATAGCGAGCGGCATCACACTTTTCGAATTAACAGTCGTTAATAATTGGTTTATACAAATGAATGCATACGCATTTACCGCGGGCATGTACACTAGGATATACTTTATGATATTTTATCTGGTGACGATGATCGTATTGACTATCGTGGTATCCAGTTTCTTGGAAGCCTTTCGATTTAGGATACAATATAAAAAATCCACTTCAAAACATGACGGTAATAAATAAATATATACTTGAGTATGATTTGAGATCTTTTTTGTAAGTTTCATAATTTTCACACATTCTTTATTTTTTAGAGGAAAAAATGCTTCACGAAGAAGTGGAATTAAAATGGGATGAACTACAGTGCATGATCGAAGATTTTCAAACTCTGGAAAATCTGCGCAACTCTTTAGTTGTCGGAGGAAGCACTCTATTTATCGGTTCACGGCCGCGAACGCGAGAGGTTTTACAGAGAAAGATGTATACGCATGAAATAAACGAATGGATAGCCGAAGCGAAGTCCGAGGAAAAACTTGTACCAAGTATAATACAGAACGTGGAGGACGGAAGCGGCGACGGTATCTCTGATTCCGATCATCTTGTATTAAACGGCAATTTGCGTCATCAGCAAAACGATAGTATATCTACTCGGTAAAATCGGTGACATGACTTAGACCGTATTCTGAAAATTAATTTATATACTTCCTCGCTTACACTCGTGTAAGTGCATTTATCACATAATAACGTAGCTCGTTTAGACGAATATATCTTGATAGTAGAAAAAATTAATGTATCATATGTTACATTGAAAAACTTTTAGCGATCGATAGAGTTCTCGAAGATACGTAATTTAATTACGTAATTTTTAATGAAAAAGAGAATGACTTCCTTTATATACTTTGATATTGCAAACTAGTCATGGATATTCCGAAAAAATTTCATTTTTAGAAAATCATTTTTTAAACTCACATTGACGCATGTTGCAGTTTCATAGTGTATAATAATTCATGCGACAAATATTAATATACTTGACACTAATTATTAAGAAGTATATTATAAAAAAATAATCTCGCGCGTACATTCGGTCATATCATTTTGATATCATTTTGATACGGACGATAGGGAGTGCGTAAACTTCATTATTTTATAGATCGCATTGTGAAAGGCTTAATTCGATTAAGTTAAATCGTTAGGGCGGACTCGAGGATCAGGGTGGGATGCAGAGCAGGATGATTTTGCTTATATTTATTTTTTCTTATAAATGTGACCGAAATTTCAATTTATCGAATTTAATGTATAAAAAAAAAGAGTTAAGCAAATATATCCTTTCACCTCGAGTCAGTTCCGCGTATCACGCAAATATGACGTACAGACATATCTAATATAATGTTATGTATAATTGTTATTAGCGCGAAAGGTTTTATTGTTATTTTTCTATTTTTAATAATGATTCATGTATTTATTTAACAAATATATGCTTTATTATCTTTGTTAAGTGTAGAGAATGTAAAAATTGTACTCTTTCCCCATTTTTCCGTAAAGAATGCCATTGTTATACTAATAAGTTATTTTAATATATTCGATTAATTATGAATATATAATTTTAATTTATTCTAAATGTTCAATTTTCACCCCGCTGCCACCTAGACTGGTCATCGTGACATCAAAACCCTTGGCCTCTAATTGCAGTAAAAAAGTTCGAAACTCGATAGATTCATTTTCAACGTTCGGCGGCAGCAAAATGTATGCATATCCACCTCCGCCAGCACCTGTGAGCTTCCCCGCATAAGTCTCTTGCCATGCCAATGCGCAGATTGTATCTAATTTCGGATGTGACACGTCTAATGTCTTCAGTAATCCTTGATTCATGTGGATGAACATCTGCAAAGTGTACATCAAAAGTTAGCTACAATTTCTAGATGATTATACACGTAAGTTTTAAAAATATGTAACGAAATAATATAAGTTCACAAATACACGAGATTTACCGATAATGTTTTATACCAATCAGGTTCATCATCCAGAGGTTCTGTAGAGTCATCAGCTCCGCTGCTCATTTCTTTGATCGCTTCCCAAGCACTCTCCGACAGAGCGTCGATACTGTCCAAAACGGGAGTGACGATCAAAGGATACGATTCTTTCAGACGCGCCGCGCGTCTCACTTGATCCTTCGTACTCCGAGCAACATTCGTATTGACCAGCAAAATCTTCAGATTCGGCACACGTGGTAACACGTCCACCAGCTCTTTGTTCTGGAATTTTATTACCGAACCGTATGTGCACACGCTATTGTCGATCCCGGACGGGGACTCGTGCATAATTTTTTCGCAGTTTAGAGCGTATTTCGAAATCTTGTCGAGCTCGTCCTTGCTAAACGTATCGTGATCGCCCCTCTGTAGACGTGACCAGTGTAGAAAGCACGCCGCGAGACATACCGCGAACGATGCCGAACTGCCCAAACCAGAGCTAATCTCCAATTCCGTAGACAAGTGTACGTAGAAGGAAGTATCTTCTTTTATATCAATATGTTCTTCGTAGGTGATACAAACGAGTAAGTAAAAGAACGCTTGCAGGCTTAATCTCTGCTGCTTAATAACTTTTTCATCGTTGCTGTCTATTAAATTGTCTATCAAACTGAGAAAATTTTGCACATAACTATGCAACAGATTACATTCCTTAAGCTTCGGATAATTAAAATTATTGACATCAAAAAAGGCGTTATGTAATACGAATAAAGGAACATCCAAAGATAATTTGACATGAGGGAATTCTATTTTAATTATGGGCTCTCTTAAATCTGGGTCAAGCAGTTCGGTGAATTTAACAGTGGTACGTAAGTTTAAGCTGGCAGCCACAGCAGTTTTTCCATACACCACCGCGTGTTCTCCGTGTAAGATCACTTTGCCCGGTGCGGATACTTTGAAATTGATCATGATGATTTTTTTTCTTATGAGTGAAAAAATCTTTTATCTATTCTTTTATAAATTGTTATAACATTGAATAGATCATCGATTTCTGTTGGAAGATGAATATTTATCTAACGTAGAGAGATCAGCCAGATAATAATTATCCGTCGTTTGTGTTATATAAATTAAAAGTAACACCAGCTGTATCTTTTCTCACATCAGTTTCTTATTAATTTTCTGATCATAAATGGAATTTAATAAGATTTGACAATCAACTTTTCGTTTTTTCCCATTGTTCTAGCGTTAACGTTGTCAGCGAAATAGCGTGAATCGTCTTCAATTCTTCTTCCAAAACTCCATACACAAGCCTGGAAATTTTCAATTATCGAAGCTTTGTGAATCTTATTAATATTTTAACGAGAAGATATTAAAATTTACGCATAAATCTCAGAATATGTTACCTGTGACGTAGCAACAAGGGCTTTCCTTGAAATAAGTCAGAGACGACAAGTATCGAAAATTTAGCACCGCAACCGTCGGATTGATCCACTACTTCCTGTAACACACAACGTACTAGAACTAATATCTTTCTAAAGCCACCAATAGACGTTTAGCGAACACAACCAATAATTTTCTTTTCCTAGCATTAATATTCAACAGACGCTAAATGTCAAAATCAAAACACACAATCAAACACACCTGTACATCAAAATGTAAACACATTTGATAGCAGAATAACAATTGAGTTTAAGTTCATTAATCGATGGCGTTTAAATTAAAAGATATAACTCGGTTTCATCTATTTATGAAGACTAGAAACTAGAAAGAAGTGATATAAAGCAGTGTCGAGATTTATCTGAAGAAAACATCGGTACTGACGTTAATGCAAATTAAGGTAAGAAAGATCAGGGCAAAGTCCGAGGCCGTGTAGATACATATCTAAGTTTTTGGAAATATTACATATCATGTACCTAATAAAAAGAACTTTCTATAATAATATAATAGAGAACATGCAGTCAATTATATATTATCAATGATACAGTATTTCCGAAAAATTCGGAGTATAACATATTATTTTACATATTAAATTCTTGATTTATTTGGCGTTTTTCTTAATAAATTTCTCTAATAATATTTTAGAAATTATATTACTAATATAAATGATATATATTGGGCAAAATGATTTTTATATAATATAAAATATATAATAATCATCCCCTGTATATATATTTAACGTTAACAGACATACATCCGTAAATACGATTGTATAGAACATGCAATTAAAGTTAAATATTTGGCATTGAATATTGTTCGCACTCAGGATCATAAATATAATTATGCATGTGCACGTGTACGCATATCAATCGCCCAATTTTCATAGCTTATTAGCATATTGATTTTTTTATCTATGGATAGTGCAAAAACTATACAGTAATCATAAATTAAAGTGAGGTTTAAATTTTTAACTTGCACTTTACACATTTTTATACATTAACTGCTTGTAAAAAATTTATTCTGAAATCTGATTTTATATGCTGATATAATTTTAGACAGAAGATGTAGAATATCGCAATAGCGGAATATACCGTGTAATAAAAAAATAATCTGTTCTATATTATTATATCGTTAAATTAATTAATATGTTAAACTTCATAACGTATTAAATTATTCATCACACAGTTAACGACTGTTATCTAATTCATGATGTAACTTATAAAACACAATCTTCACAATGACAATACGAAGTAAGCGTGAAAAGTGTAACGAGAATCAATCGACATCGCGGTAAAGGGATAACAATGAAATTCGATTTGACTTTATATTTTTTAGAGATTTATTTGTTATTATTTATTTATTATTTACAACTGTAACAATTTGTACATTCTCTGTTTTTAATAGCTGCATCATTTAATGCGACTTGACTTTACTTGCAACGGTCTCTTTCCTTAATACAAATAATTGGACGTAATTGAAATATATAAAAAAACCTAGGAAGTGTCCGCATGAATATATCGATACTAAAAGCGGAAATAGATCCGGATATCTTTCAGGAGGCTTGACAATTTGAATGACAATAGAGAGAAGCAACGCACATGAAATAGATTCATAAAACTCGACAAGGAAAAAAGACTTTTTATACTTACTATAGTTTAACAAATCTGGGAAAAGCTTACTTTTCTTATGTTGTTTTACTCCTCCTTTCGATTTTGATTTAGCCTTATTTAACGAGCTATTTGTTCTACCGTTAAAAAATAGATCGGGCCACATCCAAAGAACGGAACAAAAATAAAAAATCATTGTGCCGAGATAAGCAAGATACAGACCATCCTTAATAAATAATGGTAGCATACTGAAGTGCGAGATGATCAGGAACCAGAAACAAGGGAGTGGATCATTGTGAAAGTGCAGCAAGACCGGAACAGCGACTAACAGAATGGACTTCTCGTGAACTTGAAATGAGAAGAGGAAGAACGCCAGGGCGGAGTTTATTAGCGAGAGTACAAACGCGCTTCTCGTGGGCGACAAATATAAGCTGACGCAACTCGGTAGAACCGCGCACGTTGTCGTTATTAAACAAATCTTGGCCAGTTGCGCGTTCGTGAAAATCTGTCGCAATTTGTAGACGACATTGACCGCGCACCAGACGTTGGCGACTTTGTCCTCGAACACACCCCGGGAAAAGGGAAATAATCTGAGCACCGCGCTGAAAAATAAATCTCTGCTCCTGAAAAACGGCATCCAGATAACGCCGAATGTCAGCAGTACCGCGAGGGACACGCATATCAGCGTGCGAATACAGCGGGGCCAGGATCTTGTCTTGCCGGGTGTGTGACGCCCGAGTATATAGAAGAAAAATGGTAAAGCGTGATACAGTTCCATTTGCTTGTAGTTGAGCGCTAGGACAAACAGAATCGAGCCGATGACGAATGAATCTTGCGCTATAGCAGCTACGGCGGCGACGAAGAAACCCAACGACACGCAATTGTACTGAAAATGTCCGTGATCTATTAGTATCAGTCCCGGATAGATCAGCGCTGTCAGAACAGCAACGTTCCTCCTCGTAAACCTGAACAAGTTGGACTCGTCGAGCTGAGATCTGCTCCACGAGCGCAAATTGATCATAAAGTATACGATCGCCGGCAAGTAGATCAGGAGATCTGCGACTAGGACGGTCAGTCTCATGAAGTGCTTGTGCGCCGCGCTCTCGAATCCCCTGGACTCTCGCAGCTTCACGAAGGAGGGATCTATCCTGTTCGCAATGTGACCCAACAGGAGGCTGTGGTACGCCGTCAAGGGCGGATAATCTAAACCCCAGTACTGCAAATCATTGTCCGTGGAATTGATATACCACTCGTCGAGGGGCAGGTTCAACGTGACCTCCTGCCAGTGCCGTTGGGCCTCGTAGTCGCCGTACATAGGGGGCTTGCCCTCCCCACTGTGGGAATGGTAAGTAATGCAGCATCTCAAGAGAACGGCAAAGGAGGTGATCAAAGCGAGCTGCAGCTTTCCCTGCATTTCTCCGTCGAACACGAGGCGGTCGCTCCGAATAGCTACTCCCTCGAATCGAAACTAATCGGCAAGAATTTCGAGAGGGGGTTCCTGGCAAAATGCATGGCACGTCGTCATACGTTTTTATTTCGGTAAATAACGAAGAGAAAGAGAGAGAAACAGAGCGAAACGAAAGGAGAAAAAATCGATAGTTACATACCACGTGTGAAGCCTTTAATCCCTCGATCACTTTGTCTTTGATGTACCCCTCGCTATACGGCATATTCAGCCGCGGTGTCTCTTTAACAGCAAGCGTCTGCTGTTAACCGATACCCAGATGCTATTGAATGCAGACACTTGTCGTCAGTACCGTTAGCGGTGGTTAGCGGTTATGGTTAGCGTTCACGTCTACCCAGGTAGTTCGGGTACCCACGTTTACGGAAATTCGTCTGCAACATCGATTCCGGTATCGTTATCAAGTACAAAGCAGTACAAAGAGGTTATATAGGCGTTACCAAGCGCGCGATTTTGACATCGATCATATGACATAACTACGCGCCATCTGCATATACATTTTTGAAACCTTTTGAAGAGAAAATTTTGCCGGTAACGTACAGATTTCTTCGGTTCGTATCCTAGCTATATGCATCTATCGCAAATTATCACCGATGAAGTAATAATAATTTATTATTGTACAAACACTGCGCATATTTATGACACAACAATATCAGTATGTATCGTCGCAAAATTACATTTTTTTACAGTTATCGCTCATAAAATAGATCAATCGAATATACACGTCCCAGCAAACCACAGTATATAACTTAGATGTATATATTATATTACACAAGTGTCGTAAATATTAAATGTAATATTATTTGTACAGTACATGTAACATACTGGTACGGCTCTATGTCAGCAACTTTGAATGTATCACTTATGTATCAGATATATATAATTGCAACGTAACATATACGTATTTTTTAC